ATTCATGCGGCTGATTCATTTTGATTAAATTTGCGATGGGAAGGCTCGTTTTGCTTACATGCCCATTGAAAATTTAAGTCATTTAGGACAAAACAGCACTCGGAAAAGAAATGCGTGAAGCTTAAACTCCTATGATATAATATTAAATAATGATAAACAAAAAGAACACAATGCGCACAAAATGTAAATAATTACATCTTACTGACACAGAAACTTAGCAAACTGTTCATAATCTGTACATCGTTAAATTTGTTTATAAAATCATTCAAAAGCCTAGCACAAATTTCGAAATGTAATTCCTCTCACCCAAAGAATTGGGCGCGGGTGAGGTACGTACAGTTTCACATGCGCAAAAATTCTTGTAGCACATTTAACCACGTTAGCTTGAATTGAAAACAATGTATTATTTACTTCTGCACACCATTTTTGCTCTCAATTGGTTTTAATTAAATTTGCTAGGAAGCTTTGAAACAAAAAAGAGAATTCAATATTCTCCCGTTGTAAAGCGTGGGCCAAGTGTTGCGTTTCCACTTATTCCGACATGACCGGCAATTCAAATTAAGATCGGGTGACAGAACATTAAAATCCTGTTAAAATGGCCATGTATTATTCAATTCAACAGTAGCAGCTTAATAGTGTAACTTGCATGTACATGATGATAATCAGTGATCTTTCTGCTGTCTGGTTCTGTTGTTTGATTATTGCTCCATAACAGAAACTTGCAACGTGACACGTCACAATTGCACAACAGTCATCATTACAGTAAGTGACAAGCAGCAAACAATATGCAGACAACAGCATACAGTTGAATGGGGAATTGAGGTCTTAGTGGTCCTATCAACTAATAGAAACACGTAAACTTAACACTCAAAAATCAAACAAAGCCAGATACGATGTTCATGAAATGTAAAGGAAATGTGATGTCACGTTGATTTGTTTTTCTGTCCTGGCACTTTTGTAATCGGAGAAAAGGCTGCAAATCAATTATTTCATCTGTCTGGTATGTGGTGAACACACAATTTGTCCATGGAGAGAAAAGAGTAACAGAGTGTTTATGTGTGGGTGTTTTGGATATGAATATTCTATTCGAAGGTGTAAAATTTTAGTCAAAATTGATGATTTACCAAAGTTCGTGAACCACATTCTGCACCTAAGTGCAAAATGTTCGTGGAAGACCCATGAAAAGAGCTTAACGACAGGTGTGTACGATTATTCTTTCGTTCCTGAATTGATGTCACTTGCCGACAGCAAGACTCGCAGCCAGTCAAATAGCGATTTAACCGACTTTTGAATGTGATGTCATAATAAAGCACCGTTTTCTCATTTTTCCTATAAGCCAAAACCACAAAAAGAAACGATATGAGTGTTTTTCTTCAAATTCGTGGTCGCTCTGCCGTGGATTGGTGACGTCAGGAATATTCAAAGTGAGGCGAAATTACATATACCTTTCGAGGTCATGCTATTGTTCGTGACGTCATGGATAGTCAATTTCATTACGTGTCAGGGTCAGTCGGAGACAATGAGTTCATTAACAATCGCAATCCTAGCTTCATGTGCAAATTAAAATTTGCGGACTGCATGTCGTGTTGAAACTGTCGCAAATTATTTTGATTGACCAATCAAATGCCTTGTTACATCTGAAAGGGATAAGAATAGGTAATTACATCATCGGGCTATCCAAACTGGTGCAAACCCCTTGGCAAATCCCTTTGCTAACATTTCCCTATCTTACACCCTTAGGTATGAAATAGGTGTAATCTTCCATGCGTACAGTTAAGAAAATGAAATGTCATTCACATATACATTCTAGAAGAATCACAGCGAGCATCAGTAAACAACTGAAAAGTCTTGAGATGGGTATCATACAACTGGGGAAAAGAGAGTTCCAAAAGCCCTCCAGGGTCCGGTATATTTCTCTACATACATGTACAATGTATATGTAAGTCACATTCTACGGGTTGTGAATCGAGAAAAGATTATTACTGCTGTGATAAAAGTTGTCCCGGTAGGGAATGCAACGTGTTCTGTCCACAGGCGGTGGCATACCTTAAAAGACCTTAAAAAAGTAGTGGTCATTCCCTGTTAAACCGTTCAGCTTTAATCGTTATCAAAGCACCTGTCTTACAAAATCACGTGACCGAATAAACCACTGTGCTGGTTGCCGTTTGCTATGATATTTTAGTGAGGTAGCAATATCGAATCAACATCAGACCTACGCTTTTGTAAGAAGGCACAATACACAAATAAACCGCCTCCACTATTCCTTACACACACGCGCTACAGAAAACTTGTCCTTTAATGACCTATGTTGTTAATAGGGCGCTTTACCCAATAAAACCAAATTGATCTAAGTTAGGAACGTCTCAATGCACGTTTGATCCAAATTTACCGATATATTTGTAGATAGATAATTGATTTAATTCATAGTTAAATTCAAGGTAAAATAAATCTTGAATAGACAAAAGACAGGTATATTGTTGTGTGACGTTTGTGTATACATGTAACCCTTGAGGGAATGATAAACTAACGACTTACTTGTACTTTTAACAGCATTCCCTCTACACTTCAACCAGTTTTGATCACAACTGATGATCTTGTTTCATTCTATTAGCGAGCGCAGCAAGCTCTTTTTGTATCGTATGCGTGATATACATTATATATAGTTCAAGCAAAAATCTATAAATAGTAACACAAAACGAAACTACAATACTATGCGATCTTTTTTCTTTACATCGTGCAGAACGGACTTTACAATTTGCGACGCTCTGATTGGTTATGAATAGATCAGAGGCTAAAAATCACCGTTTTAGACATCTCTGTGGAAATAGAAATTATGTTTCACATCGTAACTTATTTGCGTGAACTTTGCAAACGTATTCGTTATGACTTGAATCATTTCTTCATTAAAACGGGTTTAAAAATTTAAGTTTTCGACGTTTTTGACAAATCAGGTTAAGCAATAAAAAAAGGTGCGGTTTGAAAGTCGCGGGTTTCAAAATTTGACACATTCTAATTGGTTGAAAAGACCGGAGCAGATCAACTTCGCCGGTAGTCTCTACTACTTCGAACACGGGAGGGTAAAGAGTCCCTGAGCAGGAATTTGGAAAATATCATCGGCATTTGGCAAAAATTGGGAAATTTCATCAGCGTCCCCACGTTAAGGGAACATTTTAGTTTCGATAGAATAAAGCCCACAATGTGATTTGCAAAAAAAAAAGCATCCACCTACCATCTTTATTCCTTACAGTAAAATGTATAGCAATAAATAAACACATCAATTTTCAGTGTTTTTGTTGATTCAATTTCAAATTCTTGTTATTTTTTTATGTTTTGAATGAACAGTGTTCATATGATATAACGACTGGAAACTTGTATGAACATGCTTTTAAATCCAATTGGGAAAATAAAGACTGAAATTGGGTGTAATGGATCCCTGTAACAGACCCCTATAAACACCTGGCTAAATTTTTGATTACATAACTTATTTCTTGCACCTATGCCAATGTGGTCTCATTTGATGACTAAATACTGGCATATGAGATAAAATTTAAACATATTGTATGAGGGTTCTTATCATGGGAATTAAGGGGTTTTCCCCTGTCAACTACAAGTAAATGTAGAGATTCAACTGGGGAGAATCTTGAGTACTTGTCAAGAATAACCTTATGTACAGATTTGAATTGCATTTTATGTACCAGTCTATGTATGCAATCTTATAATGCAAGTATTGATTTTTGACAATTATACTGCAGAATCATAATTAATAGTAATGGAAAACTAAGGATCTTCTTATTTTACTGGTATATATTTTAGAATAAAAAAAAAACGGATCATTTTTGCACATTGCAATTTGTATACATATATAGTTCTGAGCCTAGCATAAACTTGGTTAATACCGGTGTAAAGGGAGAGGAAAATCCCCGGCAAGACCGAGGTTCGAACCCGGGTCCTTCCGAACTTTAGTTGGACACTCTTTTTTTTTCTTTCTTGAGAATGTATCAAGCATTTATTGGTCCAGTCATAGGTCCCCGGGGTTTGGGACCCCCGAGGTTCCTCACAATGCATATAACTGTATTTTCAATCAATAAAAAATTATCACAGATAGTACATGCTTTTAAAATATAGATTTATCACTTGACTTAGTTGTTTTAAGTAATATCAGAACAATTAACACTACATAAAATCAATTATAAAGAACATACAAGCATACCTTTACTCCAAAATTTAAAACACAATTTGAACTTCACCATCTCTCAACAAAATAACGTCATTGTTCTTAGTGAAATATTTGGCAAATATTGGCCTTTTTTTACTCTTTGTTATGATATGTAAAAATATATTTCACAAAACGTTTGAAGATGAATTCAAAAAACTTTTCAATATCAACATTTCCTTCTTCACACATTACAAGATTTCTCCGCTTATATACACAATACCTCGCAACACTCAATGTAAAATTAATCGTATAACTGTTTACTCTCTTCCACTTTTCATAAAATCCCAATAAAACTAGGCGGTCAATATTGATACTATTTACATTACCAGTGTCCGCACTAGCAAATAACTTATTAAGTAAATTTCTAAAAAAACAATTGAAATTTTGTAATTCAGGACAAACTAAAAACATGTGCCACGGATCCTCCGTTGTAACTTTACAAACAGGACAAGTATCCGTATTAGATATACCAATCTTGAATAATTTCTGACGCGTAAAAATAGCATTATGCACAATTTTAAAATGTACTTCAATGACTTCAACAGGATAATTAGGTGCATTTACAATGCTAAACATTTGTTCAACCCGTTCACCTGGAAACTTATTTTCCCAAAACTTTACCGCTACCGGCGCGACAAAAGTAACATCCACCAATACGTTGTAAATATCACGTGTAGAACGTGGTGACACGCGCACGCCGTCTGCTCTTTGTAGTGTTACAACGGGATCTACCACACATGTTTGATCATAACTGTATTTAATACAGTGTCCATTACCTTTTCAGGGAAGCTCTTTACAACTTGGATGTACTGTGATTATATTTCTTTTCTTGGTATGTCTGGATTATACTCGTGGACAATTCAATGACAGAGTGTACCGGAAGTAAACTTGGGATCACCTCGTAAGTACACTCTTTCACATACACAAGACCTGCTTGAATGAACATATTATTACATAATAGTTTAGCATTGCTTTGAAAAAGAGAATTGAAATATACAGGCTGACAATATACGTTATCACTATTTTCACCAAATATCAAAAACTTAAATATTTCCGCCCATGCTAACAACATTTCTCGATAAAAACAGGGAATGCCTTGTAATTGTGAACATTTAAAATTACAACACAAACATGACAACCCAAGTTTCATATTCGCTATCGTAGATAAAAAGTATTTTCCTGTGTCCTTCCATAATATATTATCATTTCTGAGTAATCTAAAAGCGAACTTAATTCTGAAGGATTTCATTTTCGTATCAATATCGGGAAACTTTAAACCTTCTTTAATTTTTGAACCTATTATCGTTTTTATAAGATACCAGGTGTGCACCATTATTCCAGAGAAACTTCAAACAATGATTCTTAATTTGAGTTTCGTGTTTCTCCGATATCGAAGCAACAGACAGCACATGCCAACACTTTGACAGTAATAAAGATGAAATAACAGTAGCACGACCCTGGATAGTCAAATATCTTTGAGACCACACGGTGAAAATTTTACATAGAGAAATAATTTTACCTTCCCAATTGAGATTCTCGCACATTCTAATGTCTGATCCTAAATATACACCAAGTACAAGTATTATTTCTTTTAAAATTTTAATATGAAACGCATGTGCTTCTGTTTCTGTCAGTTTACCTGTACCAATACACAACACTTCTGATTTCTGAACAATAACTTTTGCTCCAGACGATATTCCGTATTTTTCTAAAACAGAAAAAAAAAACATTTATGCTATTCTTATTAGATAAAGTCAGTGTTGTGTCATCGGCATGCTGAAATACCTTAGCCTCTGTATTTGACAGAGGCACCTGAATTCCATAAATATTTTTTTTTTTAAATTGATTGACCAAGAGTTCCGCTGTTAAAACATACAACATCGCGGATATAGGGCATCCCTGTCTTACTGAAAACATCGAGTTAAAAACCCGTTACATTTAACACTGCTATGAATATCATTATAAAACGTTTTAATCCAATTAATAAAATAATCTCCGAAACCAAACTTCTGAAGAACCTTTACCAGATAGTCATGACTAACCCGATCAAAAGCTTTTTCTTGATATATTTTAAGTAAATATTCTTCTAGTTTATCAAATTCTGCGAGATCAATGACATCACGAATACATGAAATATTATCAGCTATATCCCGCCCCATAATCCCACAACTTTGGTAAAGGGAGATAATACTGGGTAAAACATTTTTCAGTCTGTTTGACATCATCCTGACCAAAATTATATAATCAACATTGAGGAGACTTATAGGCCTCCAATTCTTAAGTTTATTTTTGTCACCTTTGTTTTTATAGACAAGACTTAAGACACCAAGTTTCATCGTTTTCGACAACTCGCCGTTCTTCTCAATATCAGAAATAAGACGAAGAAAAACATCATTCAAAACATAAATTTTACAGTAAAATTCCACCGTCAAACCATCTTGTCTGGGACTTTTATTATGAGCCATTCCCTTTAAAGCAGTTTGAACCTCTTCCTCTGTAATAGGTTAATCTAAAATCAGTTTGTCTTTTTGAGATAACTTTTCATCAATACATTTTAAAAAATCATCAATTTCCTCATCATTAACCTTAACACACGAATTCAACTTTCTATAAAACATGTATATTTCATCAATTTTTGAAACAGTATCACTTATAACATCTCCATTGTCATTTTGCAATTCTTTGATTACTTTTAAATTTTGTCTGTGTTAAAAAATGTGCAGTATTACGGTCACTCTCAATAGCCCATCTGGCTTTAGAACGCAAGAACGCACCTTTACATGTTTCTTTCTCAAAACGTTCAATCTCAGATTTAAGCTCTTGAAATTTCCGAGAGAGACATTTATCACTGGATCCTGCTATTTGAGCAGATAAATCACGCAACTTGTTCTGAAGTTTAAAATACTGTTCGTTCTTTTCTTTTTGTCGCCTTTTCTCAAATGTCTGAGATGTTTTTTTAATTCTATACTTTAAATTATCCCACCAAACTAGTGGTTCATTTATATACAATTGTCCATGTTTGGCATTTAAAATAATATCTTTAATCTTATCAATATATTCAGTTTCATATAAAAATGATTATTAAAAATCCATATACCCGGACCTCTCTCTACCTGACTTAAATCAACTTTCATAGTTACTATGCCATGATTACTACACGACGTATCATTGTAATAGTCATGACGTTCCGTAGCCGATAAATGTCTCTCTATCAGAAAATAGTAAATTCTACTCTGTGACACACTTTCATTTCTAACTTGTTTTCTGGAAAACACAGAACAATCACGATTTCTGTTCCTCCATATATCGCATAAATTAAAATCATTCATAACACTTTTGAGTTTCAATACACAGTTATCCTCACAATGCCTTGTTAGCAGACACCTGTCAAGTTGACTTAAGGTTGTATTTAAATCACCAGCTGTAATAACGTTATCATAACCTTTTTGCAACTCTTTTGCTAACGTATCAAGATATGTGATTCTTTCCCGATTAGTATTCGGGGCATATGTATTAAATATATTAATAGTTTTCCCATCAACTTTCATTGTTACCCTTAGCAACCTACCATCTATAATTGAATTGCTATCAACAAAACAGTCTTTAATATCATTTCTTAGCAAAACAGACACACCCTGCCGACCATTATCATCATTGCAAAAAAGGATCTTACCATTCCATTTACTCTTAGTCTGCGCTAAAAAGTTATCTTTATCTACATCCTTCAGACCATTATTACAGTTGAATGAAAATAACCTGAACATTAGCAAAAATAGGCAAATGTACATAATACAAGACATCATTATTTTTCATTTTTTTCTTCTAAAAAATCCTTTCCCTTATCCCTTTTCCCTTTTTTATAAACGCTTGGAGAAGGCGCCGATTTACATTTCCGTTTCGGTCTGGGCAGCTATCAGCCACATTCTCCTCAGCACTCATATCTATATCACTTGGGGGAGAGGGAATATCTGTACATTGAGATCCCTCCTCCCCATTCTTACATACATCATGACTCACATTACTGTTTATTATTTCATTATCAGGGTCCTGTGTACCTCGCTCAATGGGAGAAATAACCGGAAGTGAGGTCCCCTCCCCCATGGACACACCATCTGTTAAATTCACCCCGTCTCCCGTCATACTGGTGCCATTCACCGGTCCATCGAGGTCAAGGTCATCACCAATATCATCTTCCTCCTCCTCATCGTCATCGTCATGAAGACCATCGTCATCACCATCATCACCATCAATCTCGATATCGTCATCACCGTCACCTTCACCACTCGCATTGTGAGTTTGATTTGTACACATACAAATAAATTGTTCACATGTGTCACAGGTGTAACACTCCCTATCTCCTTCCTTCTCACTCTCATCTGTAGATGTACAGCGGGGGTTACACTCACCACACCTCTCACATAGGGATAGTACCTCCTCACACCGACAGTTCGATCGAAAAGAACCGCATCGCTTACACGGTGGTGTTGTGCAATTCCTGGCATAGTGACCCTGCCCCTTACACTTAAAGCATTAAAAATCAGGGCAGTCTTTAAATACATGATCTAAAGAGTGACACAGATTGCACATCTTTTTTTGATTGTCATGTGCAACACGATAATATGAATTGTCCAGCTTTACCGTGTAGGGAATAGATGGTAATTCCGGGGGTAGGCGCACTCTTACAAAACGTGTCCCGTCCGCCACAGTCGTGTTCGGATAAAATCTACGCTTCACGGGCGACAATACCGTAACACCCAGCAGTCCGAGTTTCGCAAGAATCTCTTCATCGTCAATATATGCCGGTATATGTTAAAAGGACACCATCAAAAAGGATTTGACTATCTCTGATACCGGACATGCACGGACGCCTATTGCGAGTCCGTCCGATATCAGTAGACCCGAGGCCTTATCGTGTGACTTCAAAACAGTCATTTTCTTTCGGAACGCAAGCATATAAAGTTCCAACACCACAAATATCTTCAATTGCAGTAATTGCATCTCTAGCTGTATCACCTTATTGTCACCAACATTCACCAAATAGGAACAATCTTTTCTGTAGCTCCGTGAACGGCCATTTTGGTCGCCCCGGGTCCCCATTCTGTCGGCCCGGAATGACCCAACAAAATATGGCAGAATGAGAATTAATATCACATTTTAAAAGTTTACAATATGTCACAAAATATATCAATATTATGTGTAAAACTAGCAAAGAAGGCTGATGCCCTAATTACTAGTGATTACCGTCGATTTCATTTCCTGGATGGGAATACGTCTATTCAATATGGAACCAAAACCGGAAGTCTACCAATTGAGCTATCTGTTCGCAGACAATTTACCCAGCCCAGTGTCGCTACAATGATATAACAATTTCCAATTTGATAAGAAAAGCAGAGAAGAATGTAAATATAAGTGCAAAGGCGAAAACATGTAAAAAATAAAAATAAAGACAAAAATGAGAATAAAACTTGAAAGAAAGGGTCAGCTGTGCTAAATATATTTCTATAGTGTAGTGTCATCACACTTGGTTCAAATCCTGGTGGAAATAATAGCACAACTTAAAATTATGTAAACAACTAATTATATATAACTCCTCCATACATTTCTCATTACTTGGTACATTTTGTATTTCATATGTATCCTTCTTAATTTGTTCTTTAAGTAGTACTGCATTCGTATGACTTGACCTTTAGCCTTTACTTTTGAAAATGTTTGTATGGGGCACATCTTCTATGCTATTTCACCTGGAGTAACCTGATTTGGTGATCCTTAGGATGGCAGAGTGAAGTAGATCACTATGATCTACATATGTGTACCT